GATTTTGGACTTCCCTCCATCCAGGAAGAGGCATTGTCCCACCCAGAGACCTGTTAGGTGCTTGTTTTGTGCCTCCACTGAGTTGGCACCCAGGGATGATACCCTGTTGCCCCCACCCCTTACTTATGCTACCAGTTCTACCCAGATCCGGTCACGGGATGGGGCCTTCATGTGCGAGAATTGAAGTTCAATTGAAGTAAAATTTAATATGAAAAAAATCCCCCCTGGGTGAAACTTTCTCCCAAGTTGAATCCTTGCACATTAACTCTCTGGCTTGAGTACATTTAAATTCTTCCTGCCAAGTTATAAACCCCTGCAAAAAAAAAAAAAAAAGAGAAAAAGAAAAAGAAAAAATCTTATAATGGAAATGCTGACAGGCCCTTAACTACAGCTGTGCTAGCGGTCGCCACCATAATAAAGATATTGCATGTTATCAATAATCCTCTTTTTGGCTGAATCCCTGTATTTCTAAAGAGAAAGGGCTTCCTGACTGGGCAAATCTATTTATAAACTTTGTCTTGGCAAAAGGAGAGCCATATTGACAATGCAGCAGAGATCTGGGAAGGCTGCTGCAGCCTGCCTGACGGCGAGATAGCAGCAAGCTGTGTGTCAAAATGGGCCATTTACATTTTATCTCTCTCTCCTCTAAAAGTAGCGGAGAAGCGTTCTTTTTCTGACTTTAAACAAAGCAGGGCAGCCGAGTTGTAAGAGATGGAGTAAACAGGTGCACTAACTCGCTGGATGGTTTTGGTACAGAGAGACTATTTTCAGGCGTGGCTTTCCAGCAGGCAGTGTGGCCCTAAATGGGTGGCAGATGTGTATGTATTTATGGGATGTAAATGTATACATACTGCTCTCGACTTTCTTTGACAAAGAGGAAGAAGATGACGTTTCCTCTGTCCTGGAGTGAAGCGGAATATAATACTTCTATCTAAACAATAGCAGGCATAGGCAAAGCTGACAGCAGTGGGGATGAGAGCCTAAACATGACTCTTCCTTCACATTTTTTTTTTCTGCCCTGCAACTGAGCTATTTGCAAATTTTAATTTGGAGAATGTGGTGGATTTCAGTCCTAGCCTGTTGCATCTCCTGCTTTTTGCTTACTACTGAACCTGCTCAAATGATTGGAAAAGGCAGCGGAGTCTTCCATGGGGGAGACGATGGGACCGATTCATCCATGAGAAACAT